AATTAATATCTGCAGAAAATTTAATTTCATATAGTTTAACCTCAATTTGACCCACTCTTATACTATATATTATACAACTACCTGTCCCACCAACATAAGATGCAAACACAAGCAATGAGGCATAAATTATACTCCAATATTCCCAAATACCCAGAAAAATTCTTGCAATTCCCAATAAAATTGGATAAACAATTGAATCAAAAAATGATTGCAAACTTACAAATTTGGAGTCTCAAATATTGCCTTGATCAAATACCCACCAAAAATCAACCTCTGTTTGGACCAAATTAGAACTAAATCTCTTGAAACAGATCTCAAAATTCACAATCTGACAGTTAACAAATAAAACCTGGGTTTCACCAGCAAAAATTACAGCAACTTGCTTCAAAAATTACCCACAAAATCAGGATAATTCTTATACCCAGAAACAAAAATCCAGCAAACAGCAAAGAACAGTGAAAAAACTGAGTAGATCGTTGAAAATGTAACTTGGGAAATTACATAAAACTAGAAAGAATGAGTAGAAAATGGAGGGAAGAGTAGAGTTGAGGAAATCCAAGGCGTGTAGGATTAAGCAGCCTATTTTGCAATGGTTTCTCTTTCTCTCTCCTCTTTCTACTAGTGTTGAATTCAGAGGAATTGTAAATTGGGGAAGTTGGATTTGAAAATATTAAAAAGAAAGACACAAATTTTTTTATTCCTGGTTTACGTTTCAAATCTGGAGATTCTAAGGTGCGTGTAATTATGCCGGCACCTAAATCAAAAATTCAAATTTCTTCTGTAGGAAAGTGGAGGTTATATTTTTCGTAAATTACCCTTTTGTTTCTTTCCTGAAATAAATAAAGCATTAATACACCATTAAATTGATTTGGGTGACCGCAAATAAAGTGACTCGTAAGTAAATAAGTCTCGACTAAAAATTTTGAATTTTTTACTCAAGGTGTAGCACTAATGTACTTCGTAATAATATTATTGATACTTGTTAGTACGGAGTATTTAAAAAGTTTGTTGGACTGGTAATTCATTTTGGCGTGAATTGTACTCCGTATTTTCAACAAAGCTCAAAGTCCAAATTTAGCTTTTGAGTTGAGTTTGAAGGGAATGATGTAGCTTGAGTCGAAGTTAAGTAAAAGCTTGAGCTTAGTGAAGTAAAATTAAACTAAGTTTGAGCATGTTGGTGTTTGACTTAACTTAAGTCCAAACCCTACAAATGAGTACCTTTTTTCTTTAAAAATTTGTTACACAATATCTTAATTTATATGCCCTTGTAAATTGCAGTAATTAGTTAATTAAGAAATTCTATATACAAGTTTTTTTTCTTTCTTAAAAAATATACAAGTACTTCTTAAATGAAATAAAGCTTATCCACAAAATATATTACACGCACATACTATAGTGTATCTAAAGCAAAACTTATGTTTTAAAAGGTTGATAATATGATTTTCCATTACTAATCCATCTTTTTTCCTCATTTGAAAAACTATTTCTTGTTTCATAACAACAATATACAATTTTTTTTTTCAAAAAAATAAAAAAATAAAAAAATAACACTACTATATACGATATTACAATATTAAGTAAAAATAATTTCAGTTCAGTAAAAATAAGTTCATTTAAGTAAAATTAATTTAAAATAATTTCAGTTCAGTTCAGTAAAATTCAATTTTCTTAAAGAAGAATTATAATAAGTAAAAATAATTTCAGTTCAGCAAAAATAATTTCAGTTTAGTAAAATTAATTTAAGTTCAGTAAAAAGAATTTAAGTTCAGCAAAAATAATTTCGAGAACAGGGCCTTAGTAATACTTAAAATATAATAGTATAATATTGTATTAATTGTGAAATTCACTGTAGATAATTTTGAAGAAAAATATTAATAATTTTTTTTCTTAATTATTTATATTTTGAGGAACTTTTGTTTTATTTTTATATACTTATATTTTTGTGGTTTGTAAAATTTTGGACAAAGCTAGTTTTTTTTTTTTTTTTTGGCAATATTGTTACTGCCTTTTAAACCCTAATATTGAGCAATGAGTATCACTTTTAAACGAAGCTCTTAGCATGCACAACATCACACTCCACGGGGTATTCCTAGCTAGTTTACAAATCTTTATTTTTTTTTATGCATGTTGACAAAATTGGATCTCAAAAATAATTAATAAGAAGAAGAAAAAAAATTTAAAATGCCATGAAATTAAATGAAATAAATAAAAATGTGGGTGGCTTAAATTGGTAAATCATGGTCAAAACTAGAAGACATTTAAGGGTTGAATGGTGTCTGAAAAGTCCACCACTCCACCTATTATGACTGGTTCATGAATATTGAAATTGAACTACGTTGTTTTTTTGACAAATTCCATTTAATATAATAGACAACCCAACCCATTTAATGCCTAACATACATTTTCCATGATTGTGATAGCTTATCATCTCACGTTTTTGCTCCTATTTTTCTCATTGACAAATGACTTTCAATAGGAGTATTATTATTTATTTGTTAGGAGCATCTAACTATTTATAATTGTTAACAAAATCAATAATACTCCTAGTAGTTAAAGACTTTAAGTCAGTTTGGCATTTGTCCGTGTTATTAATAATCTGTTACAAAATAAGGGTCTGTTCCGATTGACTGAACTCAGCTGAACTGAACTGAACTGAACTTATTAATTAGTGATTTTTAACTACGGATTAGTGATCTTTGATTATTTATTACTATACATATGTGTATATACAAATGTACATATTATTAATAATAATAATAATAATAATATTATTATTATTATTAATTATTGATGATTATTATTATTATTATTTATTGATTATAATTAGTATTATTATTATTATTGTTATTATTATTATTATTATTTATTGAAGATTATTATTATTATTTATTGATTATTATTATTAGTATTATTATTTCAATTATTATTGTTATTATTATTATTATTATTATTTATTGATGATGATGATTATTATTATTATTATTATTATTTATTACTTATTGATTATTATTATTATTATTATTATTATTATTATTATTATTATTTTTAATATTATTATTATTATTATTATTATTTTTAATATTATTATTATTATTATTATTATTGTTGTTGTTGTTGCTGTTGTTGTTGTTGGTGGTGTTGTTTTTGTTGTCGTTGTAATAAGAGCTTAAAAGAATGAAATTTGGTTTTATATCATTAGCAATATCATTAGATGTATATTAGGAGCTGAACTGAACTGAACTGAATTTCAACGAAAGAGAACAGGCCCTAAGTATACCACGATAGATTGGTGAATGAATATATTTATTACAGAGTACAAAATAACGTTGGCTATTAGTATTTGGTAAAGAAAATTCAAGTCAAATATAGTAAGCAAAAGTGAAAAAATTCTATTATGAATTATGTAAGGGTGAGATTAATTATGTATATAAAAAAATATCATGTGATATCATCACAATTCTAACATATACTCTGTACAATTTTACATGTGTTCTTTTATTACATGTAAAAATACCATGTTACGCTGTTAACTAGCTTAGTTGATAAGATAGATCACCATATAAAATAGTATTGCCTATGTTTTTTCTTTTTTTTCCCCCTTTGATGTTCCTCCACCCTTTGAACTAATCTGGATTCATGGATCAGTTATGGGTGGTTAGGTTTCAGTCCCCTTCCAATTGTTGTTGCGGGGATCAAACACATGTCCTCCATATCAAGTGTAGTCTCAAGCACCACTACAACAACATCAAATTCGTAAATAGTACTCCATTTTGCCTATGTCATTGTTGTTTAGAACTCACTATACCAAAATAAATTAAGCTTGGTTAAGGAAGTTAGTCAAAGACCGACCATAAAAATATGAAATAATTACACCCGGCAAATATGCAGGACAAACATGCTTTGTTGTCAGTTTACTCAATATTTAAACAAACGTTACGATCTAAACAAAATTGATTAATATTTGGCAAAAAAAATATCTATAAAAATTTCTTGTGATTATAATATTATGAGTTGTATCTTTAAAAAGTAGGGATTATGGCAAAATCCACTAAGGTGACCCGATCAAAAATGTTGATTGTAGAACCCTTTTTAGAGTTTAAGGACATGTGATGTGGGGTCTAATTATTTTGCCCTAACCATATCTTCATGCTTACTGAAACTGCAAACTTTCTATCTAACCTTTCTTTTTTCATCGATCTTATATTATCATACTTTCCGACATCTTTAGTGGTATATATTTAGCAAGCTTTTACAACTTTTATAATTCAATCATTGTTGAATTGTTGGAAAAGAAAATATACCAAGTATTATTTATACTATCGTCAAAATAAGCTAGGAAAATAAGACATAGATGTAATGGTTTAATATACTAGTAGTTGTTTAACCATGTACACTAAATTGTGCGTAATCTGACTAGATATCAGTAGACAAAAACTTATTGCTCAATCCATATGCAAATGCAATAGTATTGTTGGGTTTAGTTCATGCTTAATGCTTTAGATCTGTTCTCTCTATGTTAAGCAATGTATATTATAATGAATGACTGTGCTTTGTACCACGATAATGCTTTCTTTGGGTATTTCATGTTAAGGTTAGTTCATGAGTTGAATGCATGGTTCATCAATAGATCTTTGGTTTGATCATAGCCTAAATGATAACATTGACACTTATTAGAGATGTCGTGAGGCGTTTGTGTTCAGCCTTTGGCATAGCCATCAATTCTAGCAAACATGCTTTGAGGCCGCAACATATATGCCTTAAGGCTGTGACGTGCCTTGTGTTGTGTATGTACTTAAATACATTAACAAAATGAAAATTTAAACATGCACAGTATTTATTAGTTATTGTCTCCAAACAATGTCTATATTTCTACTCAATATTTGTAACAATCAAGTTTCAGGCCTCATATAATCATATATCTTGAAGATAATTAATTACTGCTGGTTCTTTTTCAGGAAAACAAGTTTCTGACTTCATAAATCTTGAAAACCAACACAAGCTAAGCATCAAGTAAGAGAACTCCACTGTATATTATTGATAGTCATGTTGATGATGTAATTACTACGTAAATAAGTAATGTCAGAACTAGACTAGACGAAGGTAGTACAGCAAACATACTCTGTACTCCGTATTATAGATTGAAACAAAGGAGGTCACCTACAAACATGAGCAGACAATCAATTGTAGCGAACCTTGAGTACAGCCACCATGGGCAAGAGCAGGCCCCAGAGCCATCTAATGCACGTGCTAGAGGTGCAAGACGAGACTTCTTTAAAAATACGAGTGAAAACATTATCCATATAGCTCAGGGAACTAAATTAAGAAGTGCCAAATGCCAATACTCCAAAGATCCAATGACAAACACTATCACTATTACCCAACATGTAGTCGTTATTTTACTTTCTGACCTAGCTCACACAGGCATCATCATGCATGTACAAACTACAAAATGTTAGAATAACAGCCAATTTGGATATACTCCGTCTCAAACAACGAAGAGTATATACTTTCAAAGCATTGTTCTCCATTCCAATCAGCTAGTCATTTACGAGTTAACATTCACACATGTGTGGAAGGCCATCTGTCTTCTTGGTGAAGGTCTATATAAAAAAGATGCAACATCTTATTCCCTGAACAAACAAGAAAAACAAAATTTCAGAGCTTGGATATTGTAATATGACCATCTACTATACAGAGTTAAAGTTAAAAAAATTCCCATGCTAGTTAACTTAGAGAAATGATTATATAGACTAATAGACCAGCGAAAAATGAGCTTTAACATCTTTTTAAAACTAAGCCAAATCACAAAATAGCATGTGGCAGTATCGAGATAGCAATGTGGTAAGAGCAACACCAATGAAGTGTCAATCAACATGTCTCCGGTATGTTCATCACATAAGTTGACCAGAAGACTTTAGTAGAACATAAGCTAATCAACTTGAATAATGTTCACAATATTCCTCAAGTACCCTATTTGTTCCAAGCAGAAGTATTACCTTACAAAGAATGCATTATATAAGAACCTTATCAGCAGAGAGAATGTTAAAAATATCAGACCTTATCAGCAGTTTTAATAAAAAATGTTACTCGTACTAGTATAACATTTCTACAAAGAAGGCTCAAAAGTAAAATGGATATGTGAAATTGGAAGCTAGTAAAAAGATTTATATGAAGATAGTAAGATGCTCCTGTCATAGCTAAGTAGCTCACTATGAAATTTAAACGGTTCCCTGAAAGTGAAACACCAAAGCCCACACATGATACAGAAAATTATATGTACATTATGAACATCTCTAGAATTTCTTTCAGGGCAAGGATTTCATTGTGGATAGACTCCCCTGACCCGAGTTCCTCCTAAGAATACTTTTGATAATGATAAGAGTCACAAGTCTACCCTACACTCCAGGCTGTAATATATGAAAGATGAAGTTAGAACTCAGCTAAAAGGAACTCTTGTCTTCACCAGAAAAATCTGGGCCAAACATTCATGATAACTGTCAAGCACACGAGAAAGGTGAACTTTGCTTGAGCAAGTCGGAACAGCTTGAAATGGACTGCAGAGTGCAGTTCTATATGACACCATAACCAATTATAGGCTCCAGCTAAAAAGCACATAATAAGTTACAGGCAATGTGACATTAGGAAATAGTCAATATTCCCATCACACATCAATCAATCTATATCAAACTTTAAAGATATCTGAAGGCAAAAGAAAACAATAACATCAAAATTAGGTTTCGCGTTATTTTGTCAATAGTGATGATCCTATAACAAATGTCATAATTCCAACCAACTATACAATTTGACAGCATTAACAAATTCTCCCAAAAAATTTCTCAAGTATTGAGATCTACTGTTAAGGGCTAGAATTCATCATTTCTCACAATTATCTAGCCCGGATTAACAGACTTTATTACATAACACATACTCTAAAGTCCTATACCTTTACCAAGGCTCCCACTTGACACCCAAACTATTTCTGCCCATCCTTCCGAAAACAAAAGACAAGCAAAGACACTATCCATTTGTTTGACATGAGCTACTCAACATATTATTGATCACTTTGACATTTGTCCTGTGTCTGAGACTCTGAGTATGACCATGGCTCTCCAAAGCACATTTCCAAGATCTAAATATTTACCAACACTTTCTGAAGATGATTGATTTCAAATATAAATAAATGTAATTTCCATCCAAAGAATCATTTTCCATTTATTAAGTCGTCATCATCATCCTTGCTCTAGATGAAAATTTGCCTATTAACCACCAACCTAATTTCCACCCCAGCAGATCAAGGGAAAGTAAAATTTACACAGCACTTCCTTCCATTCTAACCAATGTCAACATAGCTTCAAATTTTCAACAGATCATCATAAATTTGACTTTGAAGAGTAAAGAATAACAGAGTGGCTTTTGGAAGCTTTTGGAAATCCCAAAATTGCATCAATGAGTCAACCCGACCAAATCTTCAGTTTCTAAAGCATCACTCAAGTAAATGGCCAAATTCCAATTTATAATGATAGCAAGTTGATGCAAGTCATCTCATACCCACAATTGATATGACCCTAATTGTCTATATATCCAACTTGAAAGCCCAACCTGCATTTAATGTGCCATACTCAAAGCCCAAACTCCATAGGACACAATTGCCTATTGATATGACTCAGAAGCCCACCAAAACGTGTCGCATAAAATAATCCTACCAACCATTGGTAGGGACTTATTTATTATATCCACAAAGATTACAGAAACCATACAATTAAACAAGGCACAAGCTTAGATAAATTCTCTCAATCACTAAAGCTAAACACATGATTAATAAGTAATACCACAAAATCAAAAATTGTAAATACATAGTGTCATTGGCACATACACATCAACAGTTACAATAGAGCTTCAGTAGCTAAATCTATATATGTGATCAAATTTCAGAAATGCAACATTCTCAAAGAAAGGACTAGGGGAGAAAGGAAAGGTGATCATACCACGGAATGATGGAACCGAAGAGGAAATGCTGAACAATAGGCACCTTCTCGAGAACCTCAGCACGATACATCTTAAGCATACCACTATTAACCTTATTCCAATTAGGCACCCCACTAATATCATCCAACATAGGAGAGTGTTCAGCAAAAGGCCCCTTCTTTACCTTCTTAATAAAAGCAATACAAGAAAGGTACAAATACTCCTTGGAGAAATTCTCAAGAATATCATCATTATGTATCGATTTCGGCTTCATGTACTTATGATCAATCAACTGAGCAGACCCAAACACAAATGGCAAGAAATGATAATCATCAAGACCCCAAACACCATGAGAACCAGCAGGTTCAAGACAATAAACAAGCTGCAATTTCCTCATCAAATCCAAATACTTAACAAAAACCCTAGAAACAACCGCCTGATAATCCTCCTCATGAATCAACCCTAATCTAGCCAAGCAAAACAACCAAGCAGCAAAATTCGTTTCATGCCCAGTTCCATAATCAATCCTCGATGCATTACCAAAGCTATCAAGCCAATAAGGAACAAGCTCAATAACAGAATCCCTAATCTCAGGTTGATCAGATTGTTGCAAAATATCAAGCATAAATTTCTGGGAATTCTCAGTCATTCGTTGATGCCAAACCCTAAAAGCAGGATTCCCATATCTGGCAGATTGCAGAGCAGGAGGAATCTCATCAACCCAGAAGCTCAAAGCGTCGAAAACGGAGATAATTTTGAAAAGGGTATCTGAAACAGGGCAAGGATCGGAGATCTTGTGACCACGAATGGAGTGAGAGAGAAAAGCGACGAAAGAGAGGAAGGATTTGCCGGAAAAGGAGTCGATGAAGTGGGAAGCGTCGGAAGGAGAAGTGATGCGTTTGATGGGGGTGGTGAAGTGGAAAGGAGGAGAGAGAGGGGGGACAGGGTGGGGTTGAGGGACGGGAGTGAGGACGATGGATTGTTGGGTTTTGGCGGCGGTGTTGGGAGGGAGGTTGACGGCGGGGAGGCGGATTGGGATGTAGGCAGGTGGAGAGGATGAGTCGGGTGGTGGGGGTGGTGATGGGAGGTTGGTGGGTGCGCCGCATTTGAAGCATTGTGGGGTTGGGAGGGAGGTTGCGGTAAGTTGTGCGGTGGTGGTGGTGGTGCAGTGGTGAGGAGGTGGTGGAGGTGGTTCCATGGTGGTTGGAGGAGAGAGATATTAAGAAGAGGAGGTTTGTTTGGGATTTTGCATCAATTTTTGGGGAAGAATGAAGAGAAAAAAAAGGAGGGAGTACTGAAAAGGCCCTACCATGGTTGGAGGGATTTTAAAGGGAGAAATGTTACGCATTTACAAATGCATAAAAGGAGTATTTATGTAATTATGTATATGTATAAATGAATAAATATTCTAGTATCATTGGTCAAATGGTACCACTGAATATACAATGATACTATATATGTACATAATGGTATTATATATGCATTCAGTTGAACTAAATTTATGCATAAATAGTAGCACTGAGGATTCAATGGTACTATATAAACTTTTAGTGGAACAATCAGCATATGGTCCCCCTTCAAGTGATACAATCCGACGAAAAAATAGGTGGGGTCCACCTACAGGCCTCTCTCTTCCTATCTCTCTCATCTTTTCTCTCTCTACCATGTGTTTTTAAAATATTTTAATCAATTTTATGCATTTGTAAATGCCTAACTTTTCTCCATTTCTAGTTCCTCCAATGGTTGTATGTGGGCCCCTCACATACAATCATTGTTACTTTGTTAGCAGCAATTGGTTTGTATTGTGGGCCCACTTTTCCCATCTTGTTTCCTCCTATTTTTTCCCTCTTATTTTATTCCTCCCTTTTGACGTGGCATACATACAATGGTATTGTATGTGGGCTACCACATACAACCAGTCGGTTTCAAGTTTTTGTTGTTAATTTATTTTATTTTCTCTTTTAAAACAATATCGCAAACACGGCATTACCCAAAAAAAAAAAACATTAACAAGAGGAAGGCTTGTCATAAACTCATAAGTCTTAACACTATGGATGTGTGAGTGTGAGAGACTTGTACGGCTATACATATACTGCATTTGCTAGGGGAGGCATGATAACACATACTGAAATTGTGCAAATTAGTATCTAGGCATTTGCACAACACGACAGTTAATGATAACACGTGAAGTAGGGGTACCCTTTTGAGATATGGACATGATGGGCGTTAGAACGGTCGCACATTCCACACTCAATCAAACACATTTATTAACAAACACCTTACAAACCAAGCATAATGATAAGTAAGAGTTCAGTCCACAAGGAATGGGACATGGTTGCTAAAGATCTTAACACTTAAGCTAATTCGAAGTCTATGGTGAATTGGGGTTCGTCAAGTAGACAAACAAACTATGGTTCTAAATCAATGGACTAAGGACACTAGGGAATGAGATCCACTCAACCAAGGCAATTAGACAAACGGGGAGTAAAATAGACAAGGTATAGCAATGACTATATGTAAAATTAACCTCATGCAATTAGAAAACAACTCACACTACTAAACTTAGATTCCTCATTAGTTTAGCAATAGATGATACATATTCAAATTGCAATAAGTAATGACATACTCAATTTACATTTCCATGTCAAACTAGGCATATCATGCTATCAAGCTGCTAACTCAAGGGTAGCTAATCCTATCATGAAGAACTAACAAGTAATCTCATAAAATCAATTTAATTGCAATACAAACATCAATACTCCTCCCACATTTGCATAATTAACCCAAAAGGTTGAGCTTCACCCAACCCCTAGCAAGAAGACTACTCACAACTCATGATCATCAATATGCAAACAACTATTAGGGCTCTAATTTCTTCAATTATTAGGAAAAAGTGATTAACAATTGAAATAACTATCATCCAATGACAAATTATCAAGAACTAAGAAGATTTAAATAACATGCAAGAGCAAATAAAATCAAAAATTGAATGGAGAAAAGTAGAAGGAAATTACTAATTGAAGCTTGAAATTGTTGAATACAAAGTGCCAATCTTGAGAATAAATCTTGAAACCAACTATTACAATGATTAATTTGATGAAAATTAAGCTAAATTAACTAAGAGGAATGTTTCAAACTAAGAGGAGTCTCTAAAAACTAGGCTACTTCTGTCTAGGTTTTATTAAAAAAAATGCTAAACGAATTAAAGGAAAGCATGTCATAAATTAATGGTTCGTCTAATAGAGAATCTGTTATATCATGGCTCATGTAATTGATAGGTAGGACACTAGCAATTGTACTGCACGCGTTTGTATGAACGTTTCCCTTACCTTGATGCAGCTTGATTTGCAATAATATCTTCGCCTCACATTGGCATGTTATGAACACTATGGTGTTTGAGTGTGAAAGACTTGTACAGTTATAGCGCATGCTGAAATTGTGTAAATTAGAATCTAAGCACTTCCACAATACAGCATGAAACGATGATCGTGAACTAGGAATGGGACTGGGGCACTCTTTTGAGATCTAGACATGTCATAATAAGAGTGGTTCAACACTTCAACCATAAGCTAGACCTAATCACACTCAAAACTCAAGAGACATAAATCACAACATTAAGGGTACGATCTATCCAACAAATTCATTTCCAAATCGATGGATGTTCAACTCTCAAAACCCTAAAATTCCATCTCCTAATTAACCAAATTCCTCAAATTTTCTCTATATCTTCCTTAGAATTCACCACCTTCCAGTTAGCTCCTTCCAAGCCCTCTCAATCGAAACAACCCAATTCAAAAACTCCCAGTAAGAGTTGGTGGTTCACAGGGAAAAGGGAGAAGCACCACAAGAGATACGGGCAATGTCAAGGGAGGCAAAGGGGTCGAGTTGGCGCGTGAGGGGCAAGGTGGTTGGGCTAGTGAGGGGAGGGAGGTTTAAAATAATAACCCTAGTTATAAATTTTAACTTATCACTAATGTTAAGGGCTAATATATACTATGTATTAATAATTCATAATAACCAAAGATAATAATTTTTTTTTTTTTTTTTTTTTTTTTTTTTTTTTTTTTTTTTTGCATTTCACCAAAAATAAAAAAAAACACACACACAAGAGTATCAAAAAGAATTTCCCAAAAGTAAATAACCTTCAAAGATACTATTAAATGATTTTATTGGATTCAATTAGGAATTTAAACTTAGGATCATATTTCCTAACTTAGGGCCTATTCAGTTCAATTCCAATAAGTTCAGTTCTTATTTTCCTTTTCTCATAAAACATTCAATTCAGCTCAACGCCAATAAGTTAAGTTAAATTCACCTCGGTAAATCAGAATAGGCTCTTAGTCAATTCAAATTTATCATTATCAATTTTATATTTTTTAAAGATGTTTTAAATAGAGGCACATTATCTTCCAAAAATAAGTACTTTTTATCAAGCCTATAAATATGATGGTAATTGGTAAAGACAATTCAAATACCGTTACAATTTCTAAGAATCCATAATGCTGAATTACAAAACTGAGTTACACGTAGATTCTCATGAACTTGGTGCCATCTGCTTTAACTTGGCCTGTAGTACAGCTCCGGCTTCATCAGCTATAATTTTCTTCTTTGATGCAACCTGAATTTTCCCATACAACATAAATTTGATTAGCTACACTGGCTTGCTCACCCACCCCACCCCACTCCCCAAGTTTCCTTAAATTTTAAAAGCATGACACGGTTAAACTTATGAGGGTTTAGCCAGCAGGCAGTACAACGAAGATGAAGACAGCAATCTTTGACATAGAATGACACAAATCAAGTCAATTTGTTACATTGAGGATAATCAAGACATATAGGAAGTCACGAGCAGCCAAAACAGAGACCAAAAGAAGGGAGGCAACATAATTGTCAAGATCCTGCTAATGTAACATTACTCTTACAGGAGAACACCAGCACCAATTCAAGCTGTAATGCTTGACTAGCATCTGCAGCTGTTAATATGTTTTTTCCTTAATTGCACTGCTTCACTATAATTTTAGTGAAATGGGGGAAGTATGATTGTACAAAGAATCATTTTCCACCATACTACCGCTACAATGAAGTTCATTTCATCAAAAAGGCCTAAAAGCAGTTTATTTTACAAAACCCTTAATAAAGGGTACAACAACCACAAAAATAGTGTCAGTGGTCATCCACAAAGATCCTCTTCCTCCATTTGCTATTATCTCGTTGATAGGTATATAATATTTCAATTTGACCACATTAAGTTGAAGGACAGCCCAATTAACTCTTTAATCAGCAAATTGAGGAGGGATCAAGGGAATACACATCATCTACCCAAATGGCCAAAAATAAATCCTAATCTTTAAGAAAAATTTCAAACCCAATATTTAAGATATATAGGTCGACAACAAGTGCTTTAAAATAGCTCAAACAACTACCCTCCTGATCTGAGAAAATTTTCCCACTGCACAGTTTAAGCATTATCTATTGTTGCTTGAAGTTCCTCACTATGGAGAGGTAATATCTGTGGCAAAGCACCGTGGCCAAGGGACTGTAGAATGAGCCAGCAAAGGATTTTGGACACAATAAAGAAGGTGAAAACACCGTATCAATTGATACTAACATCTTGATTTAATTAGTTAGAAAAACCTATGGTGGTAATTGACCTCACAGATCATTAACCTTAGCTGAGGCCTCAGAGTTCCTACAGTAATCAAACGATACACTATTTTGTTTGACTTAAATATAAAAGAAGATTAGCAAAACACTGAGATTGACCAAATTTCCACAAGCATTTGAGGTTTGACAATGCCCTAGTGGCCTAGTCTGATGAAAATTCCAACGTGTCAACCTTCAGAAATTTTTGTCATCGTATACTAAAATCTAAGCAAGAGCCTTTACATTGTTATCCCCAGGGACTTAAGCTCATGGTATGTTTGTACCAAAAAAAGGCGAAAGAGCATAGGTAAAAAGATGTCTAAGAAAGTTCAGAATTCTTTCTACAATACCATTTTGGGTGCACTTATTAGCCATCTACCTTCTGTTTCATAATATTCATCAATATTCCTTCCATCCAAGAAAAGCATCAAATTGCAACCAAAAGCACAAGCTCTTAAACATCTAATAACCTCTCTTCAGCATAATAGGCATGCCATAACCCAGAAAGATTCTTCTGTTTTGTGGTCAGTAAACGAAGTAAAAGAATAACCTAAAAAGTGTCTGCATTTTAGAACCTTAATTTGCTAGAGAAAACTGCTGAAATATACGAAGTACTTCATAATTCATATATACATTGGAAACCTCAAAAAGATCAATTGGAGTTTTGCTATTGACTAGCTAATCCCTTCAACAAAACTTCTAGTAAAAGCAGCATATTTCTAGATAGATAAACAAAGGTTAATCTTGGACCCCTCACATAATACCCTTGTTTTCTAAAACATCAACAGAAAGGATAAAGTAACACATATTACAAAGCCAAAACATTTCATACTCAGGTTAGCCAGAAAAAAAAATGTAATGTCTTTATTCAAGCAGCTTGAATGTGTCTGTATTTCAATGTAAGTAAAACCTCTTAAGGAATGTTATCAGGAATGTCAATAAAAAAAAAAAACGTAAAAGTACAAAAACCAAATAGATAGTCAACAAATCATTTATAAACACCAGTCAGACATACCATGAGTTATTTCTGGACTTCTAAGTGTTCTAACTCAATTACCCACAACGTGTATATTAATACATAATGTGAAAGAAGATAATAAGAAGATATAACATCAAATTATAGCATTATTGTCATGATTCCATCTGCCAAAACAAGCGATTTCGCATATCAACCAAAAACAAACTCAAACAGGGATGGTTAGGAATACCTCAACAAGTTGCTCGTGATTAGATTTAAGCAGACTGATTTTGCGCTGACAATAGTCCTTGCCTTCAACCATTGTTTTCTGATTCATAAGCAAAACATAAGAAAGTCAAACAATGTTGTATCTTGAACTGGATATGCAACGCACATCGAATGCTCAACAATAATATACAAATGGACAGAATCACACCGTCTTTTCCACGACAATTAAGTACACTAAATAGAAAGAAACAGCATACCCCAAATTCCCACACTCCCCACCCCGTCCCCTCAAAAATGTAATTACATCAAAACATTGAAAACTCCAAATTACCCAAAATGGAAAGGCATGGGATTAACAATTGCTGGGAACAACAAATGTAGAACTAACGAGTAGACAAACGACATGCTTCTTACCATTCTTTGGAACGACGGAAACTAGGAGCAAGTACAAATATACATTCTTACCAGAAGAGTAAGTAAAAACATCATCACTAACTAAACTACACATTACATTACAGCCAATGCTCACTAAACCAGCACATCAAATCATAGCAAATAATTTAAGTTCATCAACTAAAAATGCTCGTATAAATTAAAACCCAATATTGCATAACCATCGAATTTCAATCAAAAACCCTAATTCAAGCCATTAAACCCCAATAACAACAATCAATCAAAATAAAAAAAATGAAACAAACCTCAACAAAGTAACCAGTGCCAACATCAACCAGAACCTTATCAGCATCATCAAGAGTACCAGGAACATAAAGCGACGCCGTTAAAGGCACCAACATCTTCTTCCCTGCTCAACAACAATAATCAAAATCAATTCTCATAAAAAAAAAATCGAATCTTTTTTATGTTAGAATAAAAATCAGAGAAGTAGAAGAGATGGGTAACCTTGAGGGCGGGAAGAGAGGTCGTGAAGTGCAGTAGAAGCGAGTTCAAGACGAGAAGTAGCAGTACGAATGTTAGTTAAACTGTCTTGAAGAAGATTGAGTTCAAGATCTGATTGTTCTTTCACCATTTTAAGCTGTTCAATGCTCATCTTCTCCATCTCCGCCGCACGAACCACCGATCCTCCTCCTCCTCCGCCCTTGTTCGCCATTGTTTTTCTCTCTCCTGATTCTTCACGCTCCCTCCCTTTCTTTTGTGCAGAATTTCTCCCAAAAAAAATTTAAAAAAAAATTACTCTAATTTATGGTTTATTTATTATTTGTTCAAGAATCAGAATCAAAATGCCCCTATAGCTCAGTGGTAGAGCGTCAGTCTTGTAAACTGAAGGTCTGTAGTTCGATCCTGCATGGGGGCAATAATTTTTTAAATTAAGTCATTTCAGTTTTCTATCTACTGTCTCCGTTTCATATTAATTGCTTTATTTTTTTTGACAAGTATAGATTAATTACTTTATAAACTTTTCATTCAACATGACGATATGACACGAATCAGACACTGAAATAAAATGTTTAATGTCAAAGGTTTTCGACACTTTGAAGTAAATTGGCAACACAACACACATATTAAATGAGTCGGGGTTGTTGAAGTTCGCCAAACCACCTCACGACAAGACACCATACAAAACGACGTGCTTGCAACTCAAGAAAAAAGAGGAATTACTTTCGATGGATTATTATGAGTTATTGTTGCAATTTATGGCATATTTAGGAATTCAAAAATAGTTAAAAATAAAATATAGTTCATCCAGTTATAAAATAAATGTACCTAGAATCAAACCCATAACCTAAAGGGCGCAAGGCACACAAACTTAAAGCAAACTACCATCAAGCTACGCTTGTTTTCCTCTTTTATTTATGCAAATAAATTGTTTACATCCTTCTTCCTCAGTTTTTATTTTTATATATTTATTATTAAAAAATTAGTAGATAAATAAACCTACTTAAACCCAATGTGAATCTGCCGCTACCTGCAAGGCTGCAAGCTGCAGTCGAACCAACTTCCTGGAGCAAATTGAAATTAATTCCCTAAACCACTTGGAATTTTTTCCGACACGATACGATACAATACAACACATTTGCAACTCCAGAAAAGATAAGGATTACTTTTGATGGGATATTATGATTTCGGCGGTTGGATGTACCCCTTGGAGCAAGTTGAAATTTAACTCCTTTATCATCAACTTAGTTCTTTTTTCGGGCACGATGACTAGTTGCTCAAGTGCAATGGAATTTCTTAGCAAATATATCACAAAATCCATTTCTTTACACACTTCACTATAGCTTTCGAATGTAACTTTTTCAACTGGAAATGTAGGCGGTCTGAATATTGTCTTACAGGGCTCCGTTTGATTTTAAAGAGATACCTCATCTGAAATCCATCCAAAATTTTAAAATATTAACAGAGTAATAAGTTTGTAACAAATTAAAACACCATCTTCAACAACATACTTTTTTTTATAGGGACACACTTCGACTTTTGCATTATTTAATCTTGTTTGCATCATATCAATGTAAATTTTAATAAAATTACAAAATTGAAGACCAGTGTACAGGTCTAGGCAAGAGTGATTGTAACACCCCAATAATTCTCTCTTTAAACCTGTGAATAACCTGAACAATTCCAAGAGAATTACTGGCATGCTATCGCCACGTGTTCAAACGTTAAGGCTTTATCAGAAAATAGCAGCGGAAAAACTAACTCAGTTATAATTAAGTTTTAAAACCAATAACCAAAACCAAATTAAATCTTACAACTTGGAACCATTAAGGCCCTTATTCAAAACCCCACAAAAGTAGTAAATAAATAAAACCAGAGTTTAAATAAAATTCAAACTTATGAAAAGAAATAAACTGTGAATAATAACCAACTCTCCACTCAAAATCCCACAACCCTAATGCGAATGCTGCGTATGTAAGAACCTGTGGTTAATCTGCTCCCCAATATTACAAGTATAAAAATTGGATCGTCATAGGGTAATTGAAAGGCGAAGGCCATGACCAAAGAAAGACACACACAAAAGCACGCAGTCAACAAAGCTGAGTACATACAGGCTGCGAAATAAATTAAGAAAATACCTAACATGCTACTAATAATGAAGCATAAGCATCATTTATTACAGACTCAACTCATGACTCAATTATCAAATTTATTAAGACTTCACTAGTTAATATTAACTAACTCATTTATTTATTTCATTGGATTTAGCAATAGACAAGGTTGTCCAACCCATGTCCCATTTGGAACATCAATAAAAGAAAAACCCCATGCCTCCTTTCAGAAACATCAATAAACATCCAACGACCACGGGCGCAACTCCGTGACCGTAGTTAGTATGAGATCTCACCAAACTCCTAGTTTTAAAAAAAATAATATTTGAAATAGGAGACTCATAGATCAGACAACCTCGATAAAAGTACATGGCTAATACCCCATTTACCCCAACCCCTGATTGTCATTACTCCAGATGTTCACCAATCCAGAGTTTTATTGCTCATCCATCTTGCACTTTACGTGATTTACAGGTTTAGACTTGGTGATGACTCATATACATTACAATACAAACATTCCAAACACAATTCTACCAAACATAGCAAATTCCCAATTTAAATTCTTGATTTATTAGTGACAAACAACATTTATTGATTATTCCTTTACTACTACTCGGTGTATAAACACCTTGAGTGCATAAGGCACCCCAAAACCTTAACCTCGTCTTATAAGACTTGAATTCCTCCTTTACTCATCCTGTTTGCATAAATATGAATGAGTAATAATTTAATCTTTACACCAATCACATACCTTTGCCTTTAAGCGCACCTTGCATAACACTACAAAAATAAAAGCTTTTTAGCAACTAAGTTTGGCAACAGTTTTTTTAAACGTTGCTAAATAGCAACGAGTATAATTTTTTTCATTGCCTAATTAAAAGCGACATTTTATGCTTTAGTTATTTAATAGTTAATGGCTACATGTTTTTGATTTGTTGCTATTAAAAACAAATTGTCTTACTAGTTGTTACTAGATGGCATCATATTTATCTCTTGTTTCCATGTAGTAACAAACTATGACAACAAATATTTTATTTGTATTGATTTAGAAACAAACAAAGACAATGAATTTTTAAATTGTTGCCATTAGAAACAAGTCCTCTAAACTTTTGTTGCTAGATGATAACGTATTTTTTTATTTGTTGCCATTGGAAACAAGTTGTGCTACATTTTGTTGTTAATTTATCTGTAGGTCAGTTTTTGCTATTATGTATAAAATTATTTGAAGACACTCTTCTTATTATTTGTTGCTATAATGACATCAAATAGAGACGAATTTCAATTTCGTCTCTAATTTAGAGACGAATTTTTTTATTTTGTTCCTAATTTAGAGACAAAATTTTCAATTTCGTCTCTAATATTTCGTTCACTTATTATAAATTATATGTATAGAAGTAAACAAATAGTACTTTGTATAGTTGGTAAGAGATTCACCATGTGACTTTGAGGTCACAAGTTCGACTCCTACCTATTGCAATTCTTGAGACATGGGATTCATAGAGCCTTACATGCAAAGTCGAGCCAAGTTGACCTGACCTGAGTGAGATTTCAGATTGGTAAAGGCCGGGATCGGGTTGAACCGAATTGCTAATAGGGATTAGGTTTTTGTCTCGTAGTGTTGATAGCAACCAATATTTATGATTTGTTGCTATTTTTATGAACCAACTTTAATAATTTGTTGCTATTTTTATGAACCAACTTTAATAATTTGTTGCTAATTTTAGGAACCAACATTAATAATTTGTTGCTATTTTAGGAACTAATATTAATATTTGTTGCTAATTTTAGCAACGACCAATGGTAATCTGTTGCCAAAGTTGGCAACGAATGCACCAAAAATAGCAACCATCATGGAAACAGTATTTAAATGGATGCAATATTGCAACAAAATTTCTTTGCAACTGGTAGCCAAAATTCCATGGCAACAAGCCTTTTAGCAACAACAAATTTTTGTTTCCAACCCGTTGCTAAATAGAGTTGGCAACGATTTTTTGATGAATAGCAACAAATTTTAGTTGATGCTATATTGACTTAATTTTGTAGTGTAATTAGAGCACAAATAATACTTGCATTATAAACTAGTGCACATCATTTGAAATTCACAATGTATAACCAAACAATTTAACCCAGTCAATCCTATACATGATACTAAGTTCTCGATCCGTCCTTAAACATGCATCTACAAGCAAGGTTTCGTAACTTGTACGTACCTTGAATAAACAAGTTGGTAAAAAGCTTTTCCAACTAAAAACACCTTCTATGAGGTCCTCTCCTAAACCAAACAACAAAACCTCAATCAATACCCAAACAACCAAATTTACAGCAATACTAACTCGCTTAAAAACCTTCAAAATCTAATTAAACAACACTTTAATACCTTCCCTTTAATTAAAATCAAAAGCTTATACATAACTCTTTATATTTCCTTCATAAAAACCTTAAAATACACCTTTATACATAAAAATTTCAGCACACTTAAGTTACTACGAAAATCTGAAATTTTAGTTTGTTATTATCTTTCGGAAAATCAACAATATACGCTTGAAATATCAAAGTAGTAGCTTAATAAAATATGTGGAAACATTAAAACTTCTTATTTTGATACTAAAACAATACAATTCATATTACAAAGTCTGAAATTTAATTAAAAACTTTAAATTTGATACTTTATTAGCAACCCATGAACATAGTTTAATGGAATAGCTCGGGAGTATAAATAGAATTCTAAAAGTATGGTTTAGAATAGTTTTAACCCAAATATTCATACTTTTATAATCTGAAAATTACTTTTAATAATCAAAACTAGAGATTGAAAAATATTTAAACACAAAGTAACTAGTTAAATAATCAAAAACTGTCCGAAAATCATATTTAGAGGCTTAATTTGGCCACGAGAGGGTGAGCTATATATATGTAATCATATAATTTAGCTTTATTAAAGACTAATTTCAATTTTGTTAGGACCTATTCTCTTCAACTTAATCTCAGTTTAGTTCAGTTCAACTCTGATGAGTTCAGTTCCTAATTTTTTTCTCTCATAAACAATTCATTTCAATTCAACTCTATTCAATTCAGTTTAATTCAGCTCTAATCAGTTCAGTTCAGTTCAACTCAATTCAGTAAATCATAACAGACCCTTAGCCTCAAAATT